AAATGAGTGATGTGGTGTCTGTTATTTACTCCCACTCCTTCTTCAGCATCATTATAATTGTTAAGCTTACTCTCTGTTTTTCTTTCTATTTTTAAAGCAATGTATTTTGAAAAGTGCATACTTTTTATTCAAGAGGGGGGAAAAAATCAAATGAAAACATCTCAAATAATGAAAACTCCTTGTGGGACTGTGGTGTGTCTAAAATCAAATATTTGTATTTCATTTTGAACAGAGTCGTTCGGTCCTTGTTTCAACTTGAAGTTTTATTTCATGGACTCTCTCAACGTCAGTTCCTTTTATTGATTTGAAGATGTGCAATGATTTTAATAGTTTGATTGTAAGGGATGGAAACTTGTTTTTAAAAAACTAATCTTGTCTCATATAAATGTATGTGTGTGTTTCTGGCTAACAATACTTGTACTTTGTACATTTTTGTACACGATACAAAACAGAGGGATGGTGAGACATTACGTCACTAATTTAAATACTATGTGAAAAATGTAGGGCTAAATACTGACCCCTGTGGTACACCACAAGCAGTGTACAAACATGAAGATAAAAACTCCCTCAGCTTCATGCACTGCTGTGTCCCAGTAAAAACATTTGACCCTATCTGACCCCTTTTGATTCCATACTGTTCCAATTCACTAAAGTAATCATCGGGTCAATTTTGTCAAAAGCCTTTTTCACTGTACAAAATATAACAACTGCATATTTCTTTTGATCAATGACCCTGGTGAGTTTTTTTTTTTTTAATTTTATTGCCTCATTCAATGCAAGTGATTTTGATCTGACCCTGTAGTGCATATCAGAAAGAGTTTTTTTTCCCTAATTGCTGAGGCTTTCTTTACATTATTTGGTTTGTGTTTTTTAAACAGAGTAGCGAGTAACTTTAAAGTGCAGCCTCTGTAAAGACCAGACACAATCTTCACCCCCAAAACACAAACCTTGTGATTGCACTATTAACTTCTTGCTGTGGGCCCTTCAGCCATTGAGCTGTTTGTATAAACTCTTATAACAGAACAGGAGGCCATGGAGAGGTACTAAAATATTAAAGAGGAACTATCTGTCAGCATTATCTGCTCCTCTTATTCCCCTTAGGGAACGCCCAGACATCTTTTGTTGATACCTAAAAGTACTAGACTCTACTCCGTTGATTTCCTCCGACTAAAGGACATAACCATAAAAAAACCAACTGCCCTGATTAACTAAACAATCACAAAGAAACCACAAAGATATGGAGAGGGAGATTGACGGCTTCATGAATAGAAATATGAAATAAACAGTCACAGGAGCTTTAAACTAAGCTGCTCTGGTGATGTTGCACCACATACATGATTCAACAACACAATCATTCAAATTCAAGGATGTTTTTCGTTCAATACCAGCCCTGATGGAGTCGTTCTCCTCATCTTTTGTTGTTGTTCAGTTTAAACAGCTCCATCCTTGGTGGAAAAGCAGTGATGGAGAGATTGTGCTAACAAATGAACTCCATCTGCTTTGTTATCGTTTCACTATTTTCCTGTAGAGTGAAATAGAGATGCAGGAAACAGAGAATTACTGGCAGTGAAAATGCCTGTAAAAAAAAAACAACAGTCAAACAACCGTTTTGGTCAGAAAAG